GATTGGTTATCTTTGCTCTTCTTTTTTTTTTGGATTTCCTCAATCAAAACAATAAAAAATAATATTTCATATTATGTAAATAGAATATTTTGTAAGTAATTAAGATATCATGTAAATAGGAAATAGAATATTATGTAATTATTATAGAATATTATGTAATTACTATGGCATTTATGCCTCCTATTATATATAATGAGCTCCGATGTGTAATTCAAACACACGGATTCAATCCAACCTTCCTCTTGTTCTCTCATTATTCAACATGGTATCTAGAGCCTAACAAGAAGCAACCCTAATCAGTGCTTCCCAGTAGATCCACTATCTATCGGCGCCAATTTTTTTTCTTTTTCGGTAACCGTGCTTCATCTCCGGTTTCCGATATACCTTCTCAGATCTTCCTTTTTTTTTTGGTCACTTCTCTCACCGTTTTTGGAATCCATGGCCGACGTTCCCCCTCCAAGGACTGAGGCCCCTATTTTCACAAGTTATATCACTACTCCTCTTGCCGTTGACAAATTGGACGGTACTAACTATGATTCTTGGGCTTCCAACATCAAGTTATGGCTCCGGGGACACGCCTATGAAGATCACCTCACTACGAAGGCTGACACGGTGGCTGCCACTAATAGTGCTCGTTAGAAGAAAATCGATGTTCAACTCTGCAGTCTCATTAAGTCAACCATTAGTCCATCCTTGAAACAGATCTTTCGTTCTCATGAGACTTGCGAAACTGTTTGGGCACAGACTAAGATCCTTTATATTAATGATACACAACGCTTATATGGAGTGTGTCAATTTACAGAATATTATTTCCCGTCGTCACCTGGATGGTTCTATGGCTGAATACTTGGGCCGTGTTCAAGGTCTTCTTCATGATTTCAATGAATTATTGCCCCCAGCTGCTACCACTGCTAAGGAACTAGAACAACGTCGATCCTTCTTAATGCTTCTAGCTCAGTATGGCCTACGTCCAGAGTATTCGTCTGTTCGCGATCAGATATTGGGGTCTCCTACAATCCCCACTCTGGATACTGCATGGTCTACTTTGCTGCGTGTCCCAACAAAACCATCATCTGACGGCGGAGTCTCACCCACACCAGTTGATTCATCTGCTTCGGTTTCTCAAGGAGGTAATCGTGCTCCGGGTGGTGATCGTGGCCACTTTCAGAAGACAGGAAAGCCTCGTCCTAAGTGTGATCATTGTCATAAGCTTGGCCACACTATTGATCGGTGTTATGCTTTACATGGACATCCCTCTCCTCGGACTGGCCACGTTGCCCAGACCGCTCCACCTCCACAGGCTGCTACTCCGACTGATTCTGCCACCTTACCTGCTATCTTCGACGACTTTATCAAGTGGTATAAGGAGCGTCAGGCCGCTAGTTCCACTGCCTCTGTTGCGCACACGGGTAATTCTTTTGCTGGTCTTTCTCACTCCACATCTCTTGGCCCATGGATCCTTGATTCAAGCGCCACTGATCACATTATTGGTAATAAACCTCTTTTTTCTTCATTCTCTACTTCTGGTTTATTACCCTTCACATTAGCAAATGGCTCCCAAACTCAATCTCAGGGTACTGGTACTATCCACCTTTTTCCCTCGCTCTCCATTACTAATGTTCTTTATGTACCCGAATCTCGGTTTAACTTATTGTCTCTAAGTCGTTTGACTCGATCTATTGATTGTACTATCTCATTCACCAAAGATTCTTTTTTCTTGCAGGACCGGAGTTCGAGACAGATGATTGGCACTGGATGTGAGTCTAATGGTCTTTATCTTCTTTAACCATCTGCACATGTTGGTTCCGTGGTGAATTCTCCCCTCCTGGTTCATGCTCAGTTAGGACATCCAAGTCTTGCAAAGTTACAAAAGTTGGTGCCCAACCTTTCCAAGTTATCTACGTTGTCTTGTGAGTCTTGTCAATTAGGAAAACATGTTTGTAGTTCTTTTCTGAGTCGTGTCAATCGTCATTCTAAGTCTCCATTTGCTCTAGTTTATTCGGATGTTTGGGGTCCTAGTCGCATTGTTTCCACTTTAGGGTCTAAGTATTTTGTTACCTTCATTGATGATTATTCTCGACGTACCTGGTTATTTTTAATGGAAAATCGATCGGAGTTATTTGCTATTTTTCAAACATTTTATTATGAAATCAAAAATCAGTTTGGTATATCCATTAGTACTTTGCACAGGGACAATGCTCGAGAATATTTATCTACTCAATTTCAAACTTTCATGGCTACTAACGGTATGCTTCATCAAACGTCTTGTGCTCACACACCACAACAAAACGGAGTTGCTGAACGTAAAAATAGACACCTAATTGAAACCATTAGGACACTCTTACTTCACAATAATGTTCCTCAACATTTTTGGGGTGATGTTGTCCTTACGGCTTGTTATCTCATAAATAGGATGCTATCATCTGTCCTCAACAATCAGATCCCTCACTCTATTCTATTTCCTCACCAGTCTCTTCACCCATTACAGCCTAGAGTCTTTGGGTCTACATGTTTTGTCCATAATGTTAGTCCTGGGCTAGACAAACTCTCAGCTCGTTCTCATAATTGTGTGTTCTTAGGCTATACAAGATCCCAAAAGGGATATAAATGTTACTCCTCGTCTCGTCGTCGATATTTCGTCTCTGCTGATAGCACATTCTTTGAGTCAGTCCCTTACTTTGGAACGTCTACAGGGTCTGAGTCCCTATCACCCATGTTTTCTTCATCTCCCACTACTGCCCCACCAAACGTAGTTTTGTCTCCTTTGCCAGCCAATCCACCCCCATTAGCTCCTTTGCAGGTTTATCGGCGTCGACCACGGCCACCTCCACTACCATCAACTAATGCAGAAATCACCATAGACTCCCCTCTGGATCCAACTCCTCCGTCCCCTCCGGTCCTGCCCCCTGAGACTGATCTCCCAATTGCACTTCGCAAAGGTATACGTTTCACTCGTAATTCATCTCCTTATTATGTTAATTTGTCTTATCATCGCTTGTCTTCTTTGCATTATATTTGTATTTCCTCTTTGTCTTCTGTGTCTATTCTCAAGACTATAGGTGATGCTTTATCTTACTCTGGCTGGAAACAAGCTATGCTTGATGAGATGTGCGCTCTTCAGAACAGTGGGACGTGGGACCTTGTTCCTCTTCCTCTTGGGAAATCAATTGTAGTTGCAGGTGGATTTTCACAGTCAAAGTTGGGTCTGATGGACAAGTTGATCGTCTCAAGGCACGTTTAGTGGTCAAAGGTTATACACAGCTGTTTGGCCTAGATTATGATGACACCTTCTCTCCCGTGGCTAAAATGGCCTTGGTTCGATTATTTCTCTCTATGGCAGCTATTCGCCACTGGCCCCTGGCCCCTTTACCAGCTTGACATCAAGAACGCATTCCTCCATGGTGATTTGGGTGAGGAAGTTTATATGGAGCAACCTCCTGGGTTTTTTGCTCAGGGGGAGTCTTCTGGACTAGTTTATCGTCTTCATAAGTCTTTGTATGGACTCAAGCAATCTCCTAGGGTTTGGTTTGAGAGATTTAGCACTGTTATTCAAGTGTTTGGTATGACGCGATGTGAAGCTGATCATTCAGTGTTTTATCGTCACTCAGTTGTTTGGTGTATTTACTTAATTGTGTATGTGGACGACATTGTCATTACAGGTAATGATCATCATGGAATCACACAGGTAAAACAACACCTTTGTCATCATTTCCAGACAAAAGACCTCGGCAGACTTCGTTATTTCTTGGGCATAGAGATTGCCCAATCCAAACGGAAGATTGTGATTTCACAAAGGAAGTATGCTATGGATATTTCGGAGGAGACAGGACTGTTAAATTCCAAGCCAGTTGACACTCCGATGGATCCCAATGCTAAACTTATGCCAGCTCAGGGGGAGCCACTCTCCGATCCTGGAAAATATAGAAGATTAGTTAGAAAACTGAATTACCTCACTGTTACTTGCCCAGATATTTCATTTTTTGTTAGTGTGGTAAGTCAATTTCTTAACTCTCCTTGTGAAGGGCATTGAGAAGCTGTGATTCGCATCTTGAAATATATTAAAGGAGCTCTAGGAAAAGGCTTACTCTATGAAGACAAGGGACACACTCGAGTTGTAGGATACTCGATGCAGATTGGGCAGGTTCTCCTTCTGATAGGAGATCCGCCTCAGGTTATTGTGTTTTCTTGGGTGGTAACTTAATTTTCTGGAAGAGTAAGAAACAAAGTGTAGTGGCAAGGTCAAGTGCAGAAGCAGAATATCGAGCCATGGCAACAACAACCTGTGAGCTTATATGGCTTAAACAATTGCTTCACGACCTGAGATTCGGGGATGTTTCACAGATGACACTTATTTGTGACAATCAGGTAGCTCTGCATATTGCATTAAATCCAGTGTTCCATGAGAGAACCAAACACATTGAGATTGATTGTCATTTCATCAGAGAGAAGATTTTATCTAGAGATGTCAGCACTAGTTTTGCCAATTCAAATGATCAGTTAGCTGATGTTTTCACTAAGCCTTTGAGAGGTCCTCGAATTAATTATATTTGTAACAAGCTTGGTGCATATGACATATATGCTCCAGCTTGAGGGGGAGTGTTAGATATCGGAATATTCCATATTATGTAAATAGAATATTCTGTAAGTAATTAGGATATCATGTAAATAGGAAATAAAATATTATGTAATTATTATAGAATATTATGTAATTACTATGGCATTTATGCCTCCTATTATATATAATGAGCTCCGATGTGTAATTCACACACACGGATTCAATCCAACCTTCCTCTTGTTCTCTCATTATTCAACAGTTTTGAACACCTCTCATTAGAAGGGTTTCTCATTTTCACTACTGGAGACATGCTGGGAGATTGGTTATCTTTGCTCTTCCTTTTTTTTTATTTCCTCAATCAAAACAATAAAAAATCTAGTTGAAAAAAATAGTATAAATATGAAGAGAAAAATGACAAGGTAAAAGAGAAAGAAAAAAGTCTTACAAGTGACGGAAATTTCAAGTATATGTTGATTGCAAATGTCTCCAAGTATTGTCGAACAGCGGGTAAGTTATTTCTCTGCAGGAATACAAAAGATATAATCATTCCAAATTTCATGTCAAAGAAGAATCAACACGAGTTACGGTTTCCATTTATTTTCTATTAATCTTTGGTGTTGAATCAAAAGTGATTTCTATTTAACATATGACCATGCAAAGATAATCAATCATGGAATGTATGTATGCATTGCAAACAAACACGTAGAAAGAAAAGAAAAGCAAAATCTAGTAACTATCATAAGATTCCAGGAAAAACATGACGTGCGTGACTGCATGTAATCCGATAAAATAATATAACGAAATTTAAATAGAGAAGAGCGTTCATAAGCTCGAACGCTCGAACATAATATATGCATCCAACACAATCAAGAAAGAAAACACAACTGTCATATGGAGTGAAATTAACTTACATTAAGTGATATGTACAAGTAATTTAAAACTTGCCCAACTATATCTTCCTCAACAAATGGTGACAAGATACATATTATTTGCCAAGCCCGAATTTTGCGCCTATGAATCTGTAATCCCAATGTCACATTGAGCTAAGTGAGTTATAATAGATAAAGATAAGAGCGCAAATTGCAGTGGCAATAAGAAATTTCTGGTATCATGCCATATTTAAAACAATGAAATCAGCAAATATTTAGAGATTCTCTTGGAGATAAGGTTAAGTGATAAACCAATGAAATCAGCCAATATTTAGAGATTCTCTTGGAGATATGCAGTCAAGAGTTGTGCTGCTCAGTTTAATGCCCAATTGAGTGGCCCTAGCTTACATGTGAGCATTGAAATGCTAATACAATTTTTCCCAAATCTTCCAAGGAGGAAAGCATCCAATAACTTGTGTGCAAATACTCTTAGTTAAGAAGGACCGAGGCCAAGAAATGAGTAAATACTGTTGTTCCTTCTATGTCAAATATGTATATCATTCATTCATCAAATTCATTTTATCGGTCAAAAATGTGGCAAAATGCATGGGTTCATCATAAATTGACAAAGATGATTGTCGTTGATGGCGGGCTCCAATTACTTATGTCCTTGTCTAATTTTTCTGCAATCGAATGACAAAATGTCGCCAACTTTAACGTTGATGAGGTGGATATAGGTTGTGTACAAACTTGTGGAACCTTCGATAAGGTTGGAGGTGGGGTTTGTGGAGTATTTTCAGTAGCAAATTCATAATTGAGAACTAACTAACATCAGAAAACTGGGACCGGAAGTTTTCTGACACCATCTTATCATGCTAAAAGAAAGTAGAGAACAAAGAATACTTACAGAACTATATTTTTTGTATAACTCCTTAGAAAGATCTTTATCATTGACCTACATCAATAGATATCATATTCAACATAAGCATTCTAAAATAACCATCTGAACTTGTCATAGATGAACAACATGCACCCGAAAAATATAAACAAAACCAAATAAGGTATTTGCCAAAGATAAGACTTAAAAAAGAAATTACAAAGAGTGGCACCCCTCACCTTACAAATTTGTTTTGTAAGGATGAGTTAGACCCAATATTAAAAACATAAAACAGTATTGGGGCCTATCCATTCAGGCCACGCACCAACCCCAATAGTGTTGTTGGGCTTGAGGAGGTCGTTGGAAAAACTCAAGTCTCACATTAAAAGAGACAAGGCCTAAAAGAATTATAAAAGGTGACAGTCCTCACCTTACAAGTCAGTTTTGTAAGAACGCCCAATTTATAAAAACCTGATACATACTTACAATAGTGGGGGTGGGGCTAGCTTTCATTTTACTTTGCTTATATTGATAGTATTCAAAAGCAGAGGACAATCAAAAACATCATAGCCTATTCATAATTTCAAATAACCCCAAACAATTCTTCAAGGTTTGAAGCCAGATATCATACAGTAGCATAACAAGCAGAGCAAATCAGGCATGGACAATACCAGAAGAACATAATCGCTCAGCAGGCCTAGTAGATATCATACGGTAAATATTTCTGAATTTAAACTAATGAACAAAAAACTACTAAAACTTTTGGCACAAAAACGTATTCCTTATCATCAAATAATAGTAATCTATTGCTTAAAAAAAACAATACTAATAGTAATCTACTACCGCAGAGTCAAGAAGCTCTAGCAGAAATGATCTGCCAGAATCTAATGCCGCAATACAATATACGTCTTCATTTGGTGATCCCGCCATACAGGCCAAGTCTGCCAACTTGTAAAACAGAACAGCAACCGATACACGTGCATACAACTCTGTATTAATAAATGCCTGTTAAGAAAAATGATCAGTTATTACAAAGTCAAAAGCTTCTAGAATTGTTTCTAATAAATAAAAAGTTATTAGATTAGCAATTAATGACGATAAGCATACCATGGTGTTATGATAAAATGCCATTATTGTTTAGGAAATTTGGGTAGACAAACAGGAAAATGAAGTAGCCAAATCAAAAAAAAAAAAAGAGAAATGCTATTTGTATTGCATAATTAATTAAATCTGTCTTTTTAAAATGATGATTTTAGCCTCTCCAATATTATTTCTTACTGAACCATTATATTGCCATCATTTCAATTCATTGAACAACAATTGGATTCAGATAACTATGATGGTACAATTTTAATATATATATATATATATATATATATATATATATATATATATATATATATATATATATATATATATATATATATATATATATATATATATATATATATATATATATATATATATATATATATATATATATATATATATATATATATATATATATATATATATATATATATATATATATATATATATATATATATATATATATATATATATATATATATTTTAATAAAAACTGTGAAAAATAGGAATAAGAAATTTTTTGAATGTGCTTGAGTGAGTAAGCACTCAACAACCTTGATATTTATGCACACTATATAATTAATTACATATTATGTTTACAAGGAGAAATAAATAATAGTCCAACTCCCTAAATACATGAATCTAAATATACATGAACCTAAGACTTAAATACTCATTTTAGTGGGAATCATACAATTTATTTTTCTATTTCCAACGCTCTCCCTCAAGCTGGTGAATAAGTATTCTCCATTTCCAGCTTGAATACAATTCGTTCAAAATTAGTGTTGCTCAGTCCTTTAGTGAGAATATTTGCAAGTTGCCCTTGTGAGGACACATATGGGGTGCAAATCAGTCCACTATCAACTTTCTCCTTAATGAAGTGTCTATCAACCTCAATATGTTTAGTTTGATCATGTTGAACTGGATTATGTGTTATACTGATAGCTGACTTATTATCACAGTAGAGCTTCATGGGTCCTTCCCATTTGATTTTCAAATCTTCTAAAATAATTTTGAGCCAAAGTAATTCACAAATGCCTTGTGCCATGGCTCGAAATTCAGCTTTTGCACTAGAACGGGCTACTACATTTTGCTTCTTACTCCTCCAAGTCACAAGATTTCCTTCAAGAAGATGCAGTACCCTATAGTGGATCTTCTATCAACAATTGGACTTGCATAATTTGCATCAGTGTAGGCCTCAAGGGTTGTATTTCCATTTCTTTTGAACAAAATTCCTCTTCTTGGAGTTCCCTTAAGATACTGTAGGATTCTATGAACTACTCGTAAATGGTTTTCTTTAGGACAGTGCATGAACTGACTAACCATACTTACAGCATACGCAATATTAGGTCTAGTGTGAGACAAGTAAATTAATCTTCCAACTAGACGTTGATACATTTCTTTATCCACTACAACATCTTTTGTATTACTCAGTTTAAGGTTTGGATCCATAGGAACGCCCGCAGGTTTACACGCTGTTTTTCCTGTATCTTTGAGTAAATCTGTAATGTATTTTTGTTGAGATATAAAAATTCCTTTTTGGAAATGTGCCACCTTGATTCCCAAGAAGTACTTCAGCTTTCCAAGAGTTTTTATTTCAAATTCCTTAGCCAAACATGACTCAAGATTTGTTGTTCCTTCCAATCATCTTCGGTCATTATAATGTCATTCACATATACTAACAGAACTGTTACTCCCCCTTGTGGCGAGTGTTTGATGAACAAGGTGTGATCCCCTTGACTTTGCTTGTACCCCAAAGATGTCATAACCTTAGTGAATCTTCTAAACCGTGCTCGAGGTAATTGTTTTAGACCATATAACGCCTTTTTCAACCTGCAAATTGTATTGTCAGACACATTTTTTTCATACCCCGGTGGTACCTGCATATAAATCTCCTCTTCGAGTTCCCCATATAAGAAGGCATTCTTCACATCAAATTGTTGTAAATCCCAACCATAATTGATAGCAACTGACAAAATTACTCTCATTGTATTCATCTTCGCAACCGGAGCAAATGTCTCTGAATAGTCAATTCCATAGGTTTGTGTAAATCCTTTGGCAACCAATTTGGCTTTATATCTTTCGATTAATCCATCAGCCCTATATTTTACTGTGTACACCCATTTGCATCCAACGGGTCTCTTTCCTTCTGGTAAAGTCACTAACTCCCAAGTTCCATTCTTCTTCAATGCGTTCATTTCGATATTCATGGCTTGCTTCCATTTTTCATCAGAAAATGCCTCAGAAACATTAGTAGGTGTTAGATATCGGAATATTCCATATTATGTAAATAGAATATTCTGTAAGTAATTAGGATATCATGTAAATAGGAAATAAAATATTATGTAATTATTATAGAATATTATGTAATTACTATGGCATTTATGCCTCCTATTATATATAATGAGCTCCGATGTGTAATTCAAACACGCGGATTCAATCCAACCTTCCTCTTGTTCTCTCATTATTCAACATGGTATCTAGAGCCTAACAAGAGGCAACCCTAATCCGTGCTTTCCCGGTAGATCCACTATCTTTCGGCGCCAATTTTTTTTTCTTTTTCAGTAACCGTGTTTCATCTCCGCTTTCCGATATTCCTTCTCAGGTCTTCCATTTTTTTTTTATCACTTCTCTCACCGTTTTTGGAATCCATGGCCTACGTTCCCCCTCCAAGGGCTGAGGCCCTTATTTTCACAAGTTATATCACTACTCCTCTTGCCGTTGACAAATTGGACGGTACTAACTATGATTTTTAGGCTTCCGACGTCAAGTTATGGCTCCGGGGACAGGCCTATGAAGATCACCTCACTACGAAGGCTGACTCGGTGGCTGCCACTGATAGTGCTCGTTGGAAGAAAATTGATGCTCAACTCTGCAGTCTCATTAAGTCAACCATTAGTCCATCCTTGAAATAGATCTTTCGTTCTCATGAGACTTGCGAATCTGTTTGGACAGAGGTTAAGATCCTTTATACTAATGATACACAACGCTTATATGGAGTGTGTCAAAATTTGAAGAATATTATTTCCCCCTGTCACCTGGATGGTTCTATGGCTGAATACTTGGGCCGTGTTCAAGGTCTTCTTCATGATTTCAATGAATTATTGCCCCCAGCTGCTACCACTGCTAAGGAACTAGAACAATGTCGATCCTTCTTCATGCTTCTAGCTCTGTATGGCCTACCTCCAGAGTATTCGTCTGTTCGGGATCAGATATTGGGGTCTCCTACAATCCCCACTCTGGATACTACATGGTCTACTTTGCTGCGTGTCCCAGCAAAACCATCATCTGACGGCGGAGTCCCACCCACACCAGTTGATTCATCTGCTTTGGTTTCTCAAGGAGGTAATCGTGCTCCGGGTGGTGATCGTGGCCACTTTCCGAAGACAGGAATGCCTCGTCCTAAGTGTGATCATTGTCATAAGTTTGGCCACACTATTGATCGGTGTTATGCTTTACATGGACGTCCCTCTCCTCGGACTGCCCACGTTGCCCAGACCGCTCCACCTCCACAAGCTGCTACTCACTCTGATTGATTCTGCCACCTCACCTGCTATCTTCAACGACTTTATCAAGTGGTATGAGGAGCGTCAGGCCGCTAGTTCCACTGCCTCTGTTGCGCACATGGGTAATTCTTTTGCTGGTCTTTCTCACTCCACATCTCTTGGCCCATGGACCCTTGATTCAGGCGCCACTGATCATATTACTGGTAATAAATCTCTTTTTTCTTCATTCTCTACTTCTGGTTTATTACCCTTTGTCACATTAGCAAATGGCTCCCAAACTCAATCTCAGGGAATGGTATTATCCACCTTTTTCCCTCGCTCTCCATTACTAATGTTCTTTATGTACCCGAATCTCGGTTTAACTTATTGTCTCTAAGTCGTTTGACTCGATCTCTTGATTGTACTATCTCATTCACCAAAGATTCTTTTTTCTTGCAGGACCGAAGTTCGAGACGGATGATTGGCACCGGATGTGAGTCTAATGGTCTTTATCTTCTTCAACCATCATGTTGGTTCCGTGGTGGATTCTCCCCTCCTGGTTCATGCTCATTTAGGACATCCAAGTCTTGCAAAGTTACAAAAGTTGGTGCCCAACCTTTCCAAGTTATCTACGTTGTCTTGTGAGTCTTGTCAATTAGGAAAACATGTTCGTAGTTCTTTTCCGAGTCGTGTCAATTGTCGTTCTAAGTCTCCGTTTGCTCTAGTTCATTCGGATGTTTGGGGTCATAGTCGCATTGTTTCCACTTTAGGGTCTAAGTATTTTGTTACCTTCATTGATGATTATTCTCGATGTACCTGGTTATTTTTAATGGAAAATCAATCGGAGTTATTTGCTATTTTTCAAACATTTTATAATGAAATCAAAAATCAGTTTGGTATATCCATTAGTACTTTGCACAGGGACATTGCTCGAGAATATTTATCTACTCAATTTCAAACTTTCATGGCTACTAACGGTATGCTTCATCAAACGTCTTGTGCTCACACACCACAACAAAACAGAATCGCTGAACGTAAAAATAGACACCTAGTTGAAACCACTAGGACACTCTTACTTCACAATAATGTTCCTCAATATTTTTGGGGTGATGTTGTCCTTACGGCTTGTTATCTCATAAATAGGATGCCATCATCTGTCCTCAACAATCAGATCCCTCACTCTATTCTATTTCCTCACCAGTCTCTTCACCCATTACAGCCTAGAGTCTTTGGGTCTACATGTTTTGTCCATAATGTTAGTCTGGCTAGACAAACTCTCAGCTTGTTCTCATAAGTGTGTGTTCTTAGGCTATACAAGATCCCAAAAGGGATATAAATGTTACTCCTCGTCTCTTCGTCGATATTTCGTCTCTGCTGATAGCACATTCTTTGAGTCAGTCCCTTACTTTGGGACGTCTACAGGGACTGAGTCCCTATCACCCATGTTTTCTTCATCTCCCACTAATGCCCCACCAAACGTAGTTTTGTCTCCTTTGCCAGCCAATCCACCCCCATTAGCTCCTTTGAAGGTTTATCGGCGTCGACCACGGCCACCTCCACTACCATCAACTAACGCAGAAATCACCATAGACTCCCCTCTGGATCCAACTCCTCCGTCCCCTCCGGTCCTGCCCCCTGAGACTGATCTCCCAATTGCACTTCGCAAAGGTATACGTTCCTCTCGTAATTCATCTCCTAATTATGTTAATTTGTCTTATCATCGCTTGTCTTCTTTGCATTATGCTTGTATTTCCTCTTTGTCTTTTGTGTCTATTCTCAAGACTGTAGGTGATGCTTTATCTCACTCTGGCTGGAAACAAGCTATGCTTGATGAGATGTGCGCTCTTCAGAACAGTGGGACGTGGGACCTTGTTCCTCTTCCTCTTGGGAAATCAGTTAGTTGCAGATGGATTTTCACAGTCAAAGTTGGGCCTGATGGACAAGTTGATCGTCTCAAGGCACGTTTAGTGACCAAAGGTTATACACAGCTGTTTGGCCTAGATTATGGTGACACCTTCTCTCCCGTGGCTAAAATGGCCTTGGTTCGATTATTTCTCTCGATGGCAGCTATTCGCCACTGGCCCCTTTACCAGCTTGACATCAAGAACGCATTCCTCCATGGTGATTTGGGTGAGGAAGTTTATATGGAGCAACCTCCTGGGTTTGTTGCTCAGGGGGAGTCTTCTGGACTAGTTTGTCGTCTTCATAAGTCTTTGTATGGACTTAAGCAATCTCTTAGGGCTTGGTTTGAGAGATTTAGCACTGTTATTCAAGAGTTTGGTATGACGCGATGTGAAGCTGATCATTCAGTGTTTTATCGTTACTCAGTTGTTGAGTGTATTTACTTAATTGTGTATGTGGACGACATTGTCATTACAGGTAATGATCATCATGGAATCACACAGGTAAAACAACACCTGTCATCATTTCCAGACAAAAAACCTCGGCAGACTTCGTTATTTGTTGAGCATAGAGATTGTCCAATCCAAATGGGGGATTGTGATTTCACAAAGGAAGTATGCTATGGATATTTTGGAGGAGACAGGACTGTTAAATTCCAAGCCAGTTGACACACTGATGGATCCCAATGCTAAACTTATGCCAGCTCAGGGGGAGCCACTCTCCGATCCTGGAAAATATAGAAGATTAGTTGGAAAACTGAATTACCTCACTGTTACTCACCCAGATATTTCATTTTTTGTTAGTGTGGTAAGTCAATTTCTTAATTCTCCTTGTGAAGGGCATTGGGAAGCTATGATTCGCATCTTGAGATATATTAAAGGAGCTCCAGGAAAAGGCTTACTCTATGAAGACAAGGGACACACTCGAGTTGTAGGATACTCAGATGCAGATTGGACAGGTTCTCCTTCTGATAGGAGATCCGCCTCAGGTTATTGTGTTTTCTTGGGTGGTAACTTAATTTCCTGGAAGAGTGAGAAACAAAGTGTAGTGGCAAGGTCAAGTGCAGAAGCAGAATATCGAGCCATGGCAACAACAACCTGTGAGCTTATATGGCTTAAACAATTGCTTCACGACCTGCGATTCGGGGATGTTTCACAGATGACACTTATTTGTGACAATCAGGCAGCTCTGCATATTGCATCAAATCCAGTGTTCCATGAGAGAACCAAATACATTGAGATTGATTGTCATTTCATCAGAGAGAGATTTTATATAGAGATGTCAGCATTAGTTTTGTCAATTCAAATGATCAGTTAGTTAGCTGATGTTTTAGTCACATTATTTTCTTTTCTCTTTCTAACAAATGTTATTTAATATATTAATTAATATTTAATATTAATTACTCCACTAATTTCAACAAAAATCCTATAAAAAAAAATTCTCATGTACAATATCTATCCATAATTTGCAAAAGATTCTTTCGCTACATATAGCATAGCTCAAAAAAAATCTGATTTTTTTCTCTTGCTATTTATAAGGGATTTACAGGTGTCTATATACAAGAAGCAAAGGAAACACAATCCCATAATATTGGGAGAAAATCAAATCAGTCCCAAGGTATCAAATAATTAATAACATAATCAAATAATAAATACAAAATATATATTTACAATCATCACTTTTAAATGTTGAGTTGCTTACTTCTGTCAGCTCAGGATCAGGGCTCCTAGCTAATAAAGAGACTTCCAACCTTGCATCATTATTGTCAGCTAGTTCACCTTCAAAATCCTCATCAAATGCAACTGAAAGATACAGTGTCATATTTACATGATAATTTTATAGTAATAAAACAGCAGTTAGTCATGTAATTGCAAAATGATACAGCAAATAAAAATGTTTGGTACCTGAACCGTAGAGAGAGAGCAGTTTAATCTCTTTCAAATAAAACTTTATAATCCTGGGATTTAAGAGCCATAACCCTGTTAAGTGCAATGCTGCAAGTCGAATTGTCCGAGGACTCTTTGTACCTTCCTCAAGAAGATTTTCAATAAACTGAGTGTCATAATTAAAAGAAAAAATCACTATTTGCAAGAATTAGAAGAGAAAACACAGGAATAGAAAACTTGTGCAAAGAACACATACCCATTTCAGAGGCCCTGGTGCATTGTCTCTTTGATGCATGCTCTCATCATTAAATAATAATGGATGCAAAACAGATGACAAAAGAGCAGCAATCGAAGCAACTCTTCGCTTGTTGCAATTTATATGTAAGATCCAAGATGAATGCACCAAATTCCAAATAACCTGGTCAATTGTTGCAATTTGAATGTCATTGTCATTAGGTTAGCAAACACTGTAGGTGGGATGAGAAGAGAACGTGCATACAATTAAATAGAAGGAAATTTCACCATTTTGATTAGAAATTATCACAAAATAGAATTATGCAATTTCATGCATGCTACAAAAAAAGACAAATTCAATAACGCTAAGTTAGACGAAATGTGATGGATAGTACAATTGCTCAAATCACAAGACTACTTTAACCAACCATAATTATAGGATCAAACTTGGCAATTATCAATATCAACTAAGATCAAATTCATCTAAACAAGATGCAATTAATCTTTTTTTCCATTTGATTACAAAAATTTTCAAACTATGGAATGAACTTTATTTTTCTTCTCCATTCCGTTCCATCTCATTCAATTCCATTCCACCAAATATCCAACATATCCCAAATGCCTCCATGGTTGTGTGTCTAGTATTATTATACACAGTAATATTTTGGTGCATATATTAAGATATTACTCTTTCAAGTTTGATGATCCCAATCATTGACAATAGTGCTATCTCGGTGATTATGTTATTTCAAAAAAATTAAGCAACATATATGCGCAATTGGTTTGGACAAATGCAGGGAAACCATCATTCTTGAAAGATCACCTAAAGGCCCTTGAAATTTCAGGAGCCAAACAACTGATCACAGAAAAATAAACAAACCTAATAACAGGCTAGCTTATCAAGGTCTCGGGGGCTATCCGCATAGAATGAGAAGCTTTATATCTGGGCACAGAGCTGATGTTTAAAATCATACCTCCAAGTTTATATAATGGAAATATGTACTCTTAAAATTCATTCCTTTAAAGACAACACAGTGAACTGAATATATGAAATATAGACTAAATAGCAAGCTATGAAGCACACCTGTGCATCTATCACATGACTACAGGAAACAACCGCACTTGACGTCACTTTGGCAACTAGCTCAAATAACATTCTGAGTGATCTCAGCATGGTTAAAACAGAACTTTCTCCAGCATTTTCAAGGCTGAAAAACACATTTCAGTAAGCTAAGCCTCATAAATAAGACAAACCAGGAGGAAAAAGAAGTTATAACCAAAACATGTAAAGAAGATGTGTTCGACAATATTGACAAAGTTTGATAGTCTCAACCATAAAAATAAGCCAAAATGAGGCAACAGAAATTACATAAATCACATGTGATCATGCATGCATAATTGCATATAGATTATCATGTTTCTTACCTCTCAACAAGATCACCAAAAATGCATCTCAGGGTGTCATCTGAGAAGAAAGCATGGTTTCCCTCCAAATGAAACCCATTTTTTAGGGCATGAGAAGGAATTGACAGCAAAGATTCTAGGCATGCCCACTGAATCAGTAAAAAGAAACCAGTTAAAATCTTTCAATTAAGCAATTAACATCCTGTATTTGATAATCTGTTCACAGCTAAAGTTTTATCACCATTAATTGGAAGGATGATTCGCCACAACACGGGCACAATCGAGTTAGACAAACAAATGAGGAAATGAATATGTAAATCTGAGACTGAGTTTATCACAATCCAAATATCATATGGCAAAAAAAATTTGTCCCAGGACTGAGAGATCACCACCTTAATATCCAACAAAACAGCCCTTCGAGTTCTTGCCAAAATTCCGGCTCCTAGGAGATCATTAATATTTTGAACGTAAGATACACACATATGATCTAACTGAGGCCTGCCTTCTATATCTGAAAACAATTGCTCATTTTCCTCAATGAGATTAAAAGATTGATTACAGTATGAGGAAGCTAGAACTTTGAGAACTGGGACTAAGGATTCATATGCTGCAAGACAAACTTCTGCCTGTGTCTGCATTATACATACACAGCAACAGCAAAAAATATATCATCACAAACTTCAAGCGTCAGAGAAACACAGTTTTATAGCAGATAATGGAATATGTCAGGTACCTCTGAGAAAGAATGTGGAGATCTAGCAGTCCTCCAGAAGAATTGCCACATGAAAGTAAAAGCAGGGCTAAGCAAAGCATCTTTTTTAATTTGCTTGCACCAAAACAATATTAATGACATGGCCTTCACTGACATCATCTGCTTGGCCAAACAGGGGAAAATCAGACAAGTTGCAAAAAGGGAAACAAAAAGTATGGTATAATCAAAGCAAATTTTCCAAAAAAAAAAAAAAATGAGAGAACAGGAATGAACTTCCGTTCCTGATTATTTATAATATCAACTTGTAGAGACATTCAAGTTTTAAACAAAGATAGACCAGTCCTTTGGAAAGAAATAAAAATAGAACAGCATGAAACTGAGTCTTGATAATGATATTGGCAGTACATGGATACAACAAAGTAGCATCCTTTCAGGCATCAACAATAGAACTGCGACAGAAATCGCAGCTTGTAGTGTGCATTTCTGCCACGACAATAGAACTGCAACATTTTTATTACTCCGTGTTGGAAAATATTATATTTCCAGTTTTATTATTTCCTTTACGGGACTACCTTTATTTTTCTTTATTTTCCATTATTCTCCGTTAAGGAGAAAATTAAATGTATTGATTGTATCTTCTCTATATAAACCAGCCTAAGGCTGAGAAATAAAACACAATAGCTTTTACCTATTTTTTTCAATATGGTATCGAGAGCACTGGGTTAGGGTTTAGGGGTTACTGTAAAGCTTTCCACAACTAGTGGGGTTCGGGGTTTAGGGGTTACTGCCAAAAAATTTACGTTCGACCCACTTCCTTACCCGACCCGTCCCACATACCCGTTTAGCCTCCTATGGCGAATAACAACAACAGGTGGTCTTCCCCATCACAAGCCTACACCGGATCCAACCAAGGCGAACAACCGCAACCTGAGCCGGGCGTCGATCGTGGAAACAGCGGTGGCCACGGAAATGGCGGTGGCCGCGGAAACGATGAAAACAGTAACAACATTGTTTTTGGCAGTAATGACGGCAACAGGAACAACGTTGTTTTTGGTGACAGTTATTCCAACACATGCGGTAATGATCAAGAGGGTTCCTCATACTCCCTCAAGATCAATATCCCTAAAATGAAAGGGAATAACTATAATGAATGGGCTCAAACCGTTCGGTTGGTATTGGATAGCAAAGAGAAACTTGGTTTCTTAACAGGAACAGTAGCTGAACCGGCAACGAGAGACCCTTGTTACAAACAATGGAAGTCTGAAAACTCCTTGATTATTGCGTGGCTAGTAAGCTCTATAAAAACTGGAATAGGTAAGCCTTACATGTTTTTACCTTCCGCAAAGGAAGTGTGGGAAGCTGTTAAGGAGACATACTCTGATGTTCAAAACTCCTCCCAAATTTTTAGTTTAAAATCAAAGTTATGGCTTGCGAAAAAAGGTAATAGGAGTGTAACTGCTTATTACAAAGAGTCGTTGACACTGGAAAGAGTTGGATCTCTGTTATGATGACAACTGGAGATGTACAAAAGACTGTTTTGTTTCTCAAGAGGCAAGAAAATGGTCGTGTATTCATGTTTCTCGCTGGGCTCAATAAATATCTTGATGCGGTAAGAGGTAGAGTTTTAGGAAAAGTATCATTGCCAACTTTTCGTGAAACTTTTGCAGAAATAAGAAGGGAGGAAGCGCGACGAGGAATTACGATGGGCAAGAGTACGAGAAGCTATGAATCTGAAGGCTTAGCTCTGGCTGCTGGGAACCGTGACGAGGGAAGAAGGTCAGACAAAGTTCCTTGGTGTGATCATTGCAAGCGCGAATGACATACACGTGAAACTTGTTGGAAGCTCAAAGGAAAACCTCCTAACTGGAAGAAGAAAGGTGGTCGTGCATTTCAGGCTAGTAATTCTTATCAAGGGCAGCAATCCCCTCAAACTCCGCTTCCACTCACTACGGAACAACTAGACAGACTGTACAAACTCCTCGAGTCTCCAACGCCTTCTTGTTTTATAGCAACAAAAGGTAATTCTGCATTTCTTAGTGTCAGTCTCAGTCATACTTGGATAGTAGATTCTGGTGCCTCTGATCACATGACAAGTGAATCTACTTTGTTCTCTTCATATAGTCCATGTGCAGGTAAAAAAAAAATTGCAAATGATTTTTTTTTTAGCCATTGTCAGTCAAGGGTCAGTTGTGTTGTCTCCAATGTTAACTCTTAAAAATGTCCTTCATGTTCCAAACTTATCGTGTAATTTAATCTCCGTAAGCAAATTAGCCCAAGATGTAAATTGTCAAACTAATTTTTCCGATCTCACTGTGTCTTTCAGGATTTGAACTCGAGGAAGATGATTGACAGTGCTAAGAAGAGTGGAGGACTCTACTACCTTGACATTGGATCTTGCATCATAACAACCTTCAAAAACAATAAGTTCCTGCTTAGAGTCTTTTTCTGTTTTGAATAATAAAGATGACAACATTATGGTATGGCATTTAAGATTAGGTCATCCTAGTTTTCGTTACTTAAAACACTTGTTTCCTAAGTTATTTCATAATAAGAACTTTTCTTCATTTAAATGTGAAGCATGTGAGTTTGCAAAGCATCATCGTTCCCAATTTTCAATACAACCTTATAAACCATCAAAATCGTTTCCTATTATTCACAGTGATGTCCGGGGCCCGAACCGTACAAAGTACACTCTCTCTCAAAAAATGGTTTATCACATTTATAGATGACCATACAAGAGTATGTTGGATGTACTTGTTAAAAGGGAAATCAAATGTTTGGCAGGCTGTAAAGAATTTTTTTTAACGGTGCAGAACCAATTTCAAACAAATATCCAAGTCTTTAGAAGTGATAATGGCAAAGAATACTCTAACAATATCCTGGATGATTTTTTTCTAAAAAATGGAGTTGTTCATCAAAGTTCATGTCCTAATACTCCTCAACAAAATGGAGTGGCCGAAAGGAAAAAATAGACACTTTTTAGAGATTAATAGAGCTCTACTTTTTTCAAATAAAGTATCAAACTATTTGTGGGGCGAAGTTGTTCTAACAGCTGCATATTTAATTAACAGAATGCCCTCTAAAATTCTCAATTTTCAAACTCCAATTAATGTCTTCAAAGAATGTTTTCCTAGTACTCGTATTTTAACTGATTTGAATTTAAAAATCTTTGGTTGCACAGCCTTTGTTCATGAACATAAAAATGTCGGAAAACTTGAGCCACATGCTATAAAATGTGTCTTTGTTGGATACTCCCCAACCCAAAAAGGATATAAATGTTTTGATCCAAAAAATAAGAAAATGTTTGTCACTATGGATGTTACATTCTTTGAAAATAAATCTTTTTTTTTATGACACTCTTCTTCAAGGGGGGAGATAGACGGAGACTCGTTTTAGATGTTTCAAATTGAGGACATGAGTTTTTTAAATAACTTATCATTGTCAGTATCACAAAATATTGAGACTTTTACACCTGCACCAATAGAAAATGGTCATGATTCTTTATCTGATCCTACTCCTGTTATGAGTAAGGAAGCTTGTGAATCTGAGCCTACATTTTCTCTTGTAGAAAACAATGAGAATCCTGAAAACGATGATAATGATGATTTAATTGAAATGCCACAAAATAATGAGTCACTTCAAAAAAACATATTTGAATTAGGAAACGGGACTTGGAAAGGAATGGTTTTTGTGAAAAAGCACCATAAAGAAAGGGACAAGTCCACATCTCAACACTGCCGAGAATCTGAATCGGGGAATGATCAACCTCGTGTACAGGTTGCTCTAGAAATTCCAAAGTGGGGGAAAGTTGTACTTGAGGAGATGAAAGCTCTTGAAAAGAACAAAATTTGGAGAGTTATGTCACTACCAGGTGGCAAGAAGACAGTTGGATGCAAATGGGTGTTTACTGTGAAGTATAATTCAGATGGATCAATTGAAAGGTACAAAACTCGCTTGGTGGTTAAAGGCTTTACTCAGACCTACTGTATAGATTACTCTAAGACATTTGCTCATGTTGCAAAATTGAACGCTGTCAGAATTCTTTTATCTCTTGCTGCTAACCTAGATTGGCCCCTACATCAGTTAGATATTAAGAATGCCTTTCTTAATGGCGATCTGAAGAAGAAGTATATATGGACATTCCTCCTGGCTTTGAAAACAAATTTGGATCAAATGTGTGCAAATTAAATAAGACTTTGTATGGATTAAAGCAGTCTCCTAGAGCTTGGTTTGAAAAATTCACCCAGTCCATGAAGAAACAAGGATACATCCAAGGACAGGCTGACCATACCTTGTTCACAAAGTTCTCTCACGATGGGAAAGTTGCTGCTCTGATTGTTTATGTTGATGATATTGTCCTTACTGGAGATGATACAGTGGAAATGGCAAGAGTAAAAGAGAAATTGGCAGTTGACTTTGAAATCAAGGACTTTGAGATTCATGAGATATTTTCTAGGTATGGAGGTTGCTCGGTCAAAGAATGGTATTGTGGTTTCACAGCCGAAATGCATTCTAGACTTGTTGAAAGAAACAGAAATGAGTGGATGTCGTCCTGCAAATACTCCTATGGATCCTAATGCTAAACTTTAGGGAAAAGGTAATGTTCCTGTTGATACTGAAAGATATCAGAGATTGGTTGGGAAACTGATTTATTTGTCACACACCCGACTTGATATTGCTTTTTCGGTTAGTGTAGTGAGTCAGTTTATGCATTCTCCTTTCGAAGAACATCTTGAGGCAGTCTATAGGATATTGAGATATTTGAAGGAAAATCCTAGAAAAGAATTATTTTTTTAAGAAGACCAGTGAAAGAAATGTGTCTGTCTTCAACGATGTTGATTGGGTAGGTTCAGTCACAGATAGAAGATGAACCTTTGGATATTGTACCTACGTTTGGGGTAATCTTGTGACATGGAAGAGCAAGAAACAAGGAGTTGTAGCAAGGAGTGGTGTAGAAGTCGAGTTTAGAGTTATGTCTGAAGGTATTTGTGAAGGAATATGGATCCTTAGAGTCCTAGAGAAACTTAAGATGAAAATTGAGCTTCCATTGAAATTATACTCTGACAGTAAAGTTGTTATTAGCATTGCTCATAATCCAGTTTAACATGACAGAACCAAGCATATCGAAATTGATCGACACTTCATAAAAGAGAAGTTAGATGCTAGAATCATATATCTACCCTTCGTGATTTCAAGTCAGCAAACTGCAGATATCTTAACCAAAAGTTTGACAATACCTACTTTTGAGTATTTGATAGACAAGTTGAACATGATAGATATCTATGCACCAACTTGAGGGGGGTGTTGGAAAATATTATATTTCCAGTTTTATTATTTCCGTTATGAGACTACCTTTATTTTTCTTTATTTTCCATTATTCTCCATTAAGGAGAAAATTAAATGTTCTGATTATATCTTCTCTATATAAATCAGCCTAAGGCTGAGGAATAAAACACAACAGCTTTTACCTCTTTTTTCCAATACTCCGTAACCCCATCCAATCCAACTGCTCTCCCATTACCAACAACTTTCTGGCCGTGATCACTATTCTCTGGCAAGCACCTAGTTCCAACAACCCAATCAAGCACTTTGTTTTCTTTTTCTTCTCACTCTCCAGCAGGTTGCAACTTGTCATCTTCGTTCTTTATTGTTTTGTTTTTTTAGGGTATTCTGTTTCTGACTTTCTGTTCAATATTCTTTTCTCTACACTGAGATCTGTTCTTTTTGTTTCTTTTCCATTGTCTTGTTCTGTTTTTCGGGTCGTCGGTCTTTCAAAGACCCAAACACATAGACTCTTTTTTTGTTATCCCCCACACTGGTTACTAGTTATGATATCTTCCTTTCACAATACACAGAAACAGAACTAAAAAAACTGTACTTTTAAATTTAATTGAAGAATCCTATTAACAAAAACTTCGATTAGAATTTTAATAATTAGTTACTCTAAAGCTTTACGATGAAACTTGTTTTTTCATGAGTTTTGTTTGTATATACTTGTAAATTTTGCTCAAGACCAGTGACTTTTTATGGTTAATCATGAATATTTCATAAATTTGGAGTCATATTTTTTTTTAAAAGTAACATTTAAATGCATAGTATTAATGATCTAATCTGCATGAAAAACTTCTGAATGGTGATCATTCTGCTATAGTGTTTTTAGATGGGCCGGTAAGTGCTGCTATCCAAGATTATTACTATCATTTAACGCTTTGTCCTCACTACAAACACATCAACAAATATATACTATATGTTCTATACCTATCAGCTTAATTTTTAACAAGCTGGTTCTTACCTCTAGGATCTATCTAAAGAAATAGTTGAGAGCTTAAACTATTTGAGCACTTCTGTTAAAATGATTGCACATATGAATAAAGTAAAATGCTAAATCTAGAAAGAAAGAAATATCATAAAGAAAATGAATGCCTGAACCTTTAGCCACCGGTCTGTATAAGAGTATATCTATAACCCGCCAGTTTAGACACAAATTCTACAGAACAGTGGCACCCATGATGAATAATATTCTAGAATCCAGTTTAAAGAGAAGTCAAGCAACCAACGATAATAAAAGAGCAGAAAGTACCTACCGCCTGCAATACAGCAGTGGTGGCAGAAATTGGCAACCTCCGCTGACTAGGACCTCCAAGTTTTCCTCTTACTGCACCAGGCAGTGCAGTGTCCTCTACAACAGCACCAGACCAGAAAACGGAACAAGACCGGGTTGCAAACTGAACCAGATCATCCTGCATTTCAATAATCATTTAAGGATCACAAATGGATAAATGGAATTCCACACCATAATAAGAAGAGGTATAAGAAATAATACCAACAAATACAGAAATATATCAACAAGCTTTTTAGAAATGTCATCTATGAAACTCCAATCATCAGCTACACCAGGAAAGCCAATCTCTATATTTTTTGTTCTGGCTTTACTGCCATATTCAATCACTCTTTCCGTTGTCCTGCGAAGCTCCATAACAAAACTTGAGGCAAGAATCAAGAATTTGACTCTTATGTAAACTGCATCATGGTTTTGTATGAAGATATTAGAGCCAATCTTTTGAATGAACTGCAAAAATAACAGACATCCATTTATACTGTTAGTATACAAACCAGAGAATGATAGAGGGGTGATAATGCAGTGAGCAGTTTATCAATAGCAAGCCATAGAATGATCCTAATACTGCATAGTAAAACTAACATAGAGCCCACGCCATTAATAATAATTTCAATTTTCGGAGGGAGGGAGTAGTTGCATCATATGGAAAATACAAAGGGAAAAGGCAAAAGCAAACCATTAAAATAGGTTCCAGAGGATGCTCCTCTGTAATTGCAAGGAAAAGCACTCTTGCCCATCTATTTGCTTCAAACTCCCATGCACTCAAGTCGCCATCGTCATAATTAAGAGAAATATCAATGGAAAGATGATTACTAATAAAGCTATGTGGGAAGTCATAAAGATTCTTGCAGAGCTTCATATCATTCATACAGCAATTGGCACAGCAATCCTTGTAACCACAACCAGAGAACCATCGTTGCACAGTCGGTCTTAATTTGCCTGTGGGGAAGAGATGGAAAGCGATCACATTCTACCAACAGAAAATCATATCAGCCAGATTTAAAGGCTAATTCATTGACCAACAAAAGGATGGAAATACCAGCATCACACAGAACAGCAGCATACGTGATGAAAAATATACAGTAAACTTTTTATAATATATCAAAACAAATACTGTAAAAAGCAATCTCCCAAGTCCAAACTCAAAAATTGTGACACTAACATCAGGAAGAAACAACAGATTAATTTAGAAAATATCCAACTAGGGAAATTAGTTCAATTTTGGTCAGATAATCAATCTTAATTTCACATTTGCAGTGTGCCTGGTTCTTTTAATTCCATCAAACCCTGCTGAATTTTGCCATTAAACTATAAAACAGTAAAACCTAATAGATGACATATCAGTATGAAGGCCATACAGCTGAATCATGAGAGTCCGTTCATTTAGTTAGCCCCAGGAGACAGGGACATGGACCACATGTGGTGCTTTAGTTAGTGCTGACGGTGCATATATTTAACATCATTTATGAAGCATGTATACAACTCCTTTTTCAATGGGATAATACTTTATCTTGGTGATGTCATCCATTGTCCACATTAGAGAAGATAACATCAAGCATGAACACTTCTGTCAAAGTTTCAACAGATGAGAAAGGGTAACTTCTTTTGCAGAACATGAGTGAATTTGAAAAGATATTTTGTTTGTAATTAGTAGGGTACTAGGGTATTGTTAGGACAGAAGAGAAGGGGGAAAATTCAGGGACAGTTAGAGTCAGCTGGTTAGATGGAGGGAATCAGTAACATAATAAAAAAGGATGATGCAATGTAGAGAGGGATCTTTAAGATTTGAAAGCATTTGAGTGAACAGAGCAGTGGAGCAGTGGAGCAGTGATCTCTCATTCTCAATATTCAATAAAAACATGTCTTCTATTCTCCTTTCTATCAAATTATATTTCTGTTCTCTGGGATTGTAACAGCAATTTAGTATAGAAAATGGATAGTAATTGATAGTTCACTTTTCCAGCTTCATTGATCAGTAGATATGAACAACATGAAGATTTTGTAAGTTCACTTGCTTTCCACTCGCACGCAACGCAATTAAAGGGAAAATAGAGTATTTAGCATTATATCTTCTTTACACTTTCAAAAATAGAGTAGTGACACAAGTTTGTGACTACAGTTAGAATGATAGAAAGCACTAGATATTAGAAATTCCACGTACCACCATAATCCGTAAATTCGTGTGGCAATGCTGAAATGAAGAGCAAAAGAGTTTCAAGAGAAATATCAAATGCGCACACCACAGAAGCAGCAGCCTCAAGAATCCTGCCACAAACTATAACATAATCTAGGTGTAAGATGACTCTATGGCTCCTAAATTATGAATATGAAAATGAATACTAAGAATCACATAACCCAAGTACACTGCTATAAACCTTGAAGTCGGTAACTGGGATTGAAATGTTGTTTGCTGCTCTCAATAACATATCTAAAGATATCCAGTAATTCTTTTTTACCAGTTTGACTTTCCATTCCAGTAACAAATTCCACTGGGAGATTTCCTGTGAATGATTCTGTCCTGGCATGAATAACTATTCCAATACCAGCTGAAGCTGAAGCAATGCATTCAGCTAGGCCCATAAGTCCAGCCCGTCCAAAAGACTGATGTTTAGAGGTGGATGCTAAATTGCATAAAAATGCAAAGAGCTTCCTGTAAATAACTTTTAGACAATAAGAAATGTAAAGCCAAAGTATTTCATTACACATTTACATTTAAGAGATAAATAAAGGAAAAAGATAAAAAGCATTATGGGTAGCATTACCACCAAACCATAGGTAAACGAGCATGTTAGCTTTCTAAAGAATAAAAGTGTGTGTGTGTGTGTGTGTTTGTCTGTCTCTCATATACTGTGCATTTCACTCAAGCCAAATGCTCCGGAACTAAGCAACAGCACTTTTACTCCCAAAACCTTAAAAGAAAATATTGCTTCACTAAATTAAGCAGGTAGTATGTCATTCACCATATTAGCAAAGAAACAAAACCAAATGCCTTCTATAACCTCACAGATATTTAGAGAGATGGGAATGGTACTAAAAACTAATAAACTAAAACTACTCTAGTACCGTAATATGGAGTTGGGACTAAGTTGTTCAGAGACTGCATGACATTTACCTACCAATTTGGAAGTCTCTTTACTTATTGGCATGAAGATTTCGGATGTAAAAAGGATAAGCTAATGAACTGTTTTTTTATAAACACACCATATAGCTGTCTATTTTACTAAAACAAGTTCTGAGCATACCTTGGTGCTAGAAAACTAACATACTTCTGGAAAAACTGGGCTGCACCTTTAATCACGGTTGATGTGTAAACTCCTTTAACACCTAAAATATCAATTAAATCATGGCAGTATTCAGAAGAATGTAATATTTTTACAGTAGCATAAGGAGACAGGCACTTTTTATCAATGCCAGTGAAAGAAACGTCGGATTTGAAGAAATTAATCATTTGAGAGACGTTAAACCATTAAATAAGCAGATTTTTTTAATAAAAAAATGCTAAAATCCCACATCGTTTTGAAACAAAGCCATAGTAAGGCTTGGATAAGGCTCACTCCTTGAGGTAGCTTTTAGAATTGAGTTTGACCAAGCCTAGATTCTAAGATTGTATAAATTCTATCCTATATTTGTTATTGGATCACCCATATTTGTCCACACTCTAGATGTCCAATTTTGAATAGGAGAGGAGTGTGTTGAGAACTTGAGATCATACATTGACTCGAGATATGGCCAAAGTAAGGCTTGTGCAATCCCCATCCCTAGATCTAGCTTTTGAAGCTAAGTTGGGTCTAGTCAAAATTCTAAAAGGGGAAAAACATAACCTAAAATTCAAATATGAACAAGAAGAAATTCATTTGAAAGGAGACAACGGAGTGAAGCACATACCAAATTCTTTATGGTGTATTGGATCATTCAACCCTTGCATAAATGGACCGAGAACAAAGGTTTCAGGCACTGACTTTACGTAGTTCACATGATCCCCCAAATTGATGTCAAGGAAAGACTGCATGATCAGGCACCTTACTGCATTTATTTGGGAAACGCCATAAAAGGAAAAAGGATGAAAGGACTAATTTAATGTGACAAACTCCGTAATTTGGGTAATGGTATTCATATTTTGATTTAAAAGTTTTACTAATAAAAAGACTGGTTGGGCCCTCACTTGTCGATAATGATGACGACACTAACCTTGAGGATTGTCATGTTGGAGGCCCCGTTCCCATAAAATAGATAACCAGTCAAAAGGCTGGCCACATACTTCAAATTGATCTTGATGAAATTTACTGATATTTGTTGCAACATTGAGATACGATTCAGAGAATTGAAGCATCAAGGAGACCTGTATGAAAGAATTACTTAAACACATTAGATGCAATTGTTATGGGACAGCATAAAATACAGAACCAAAATACAGAATGCATGAACTTAGGATTTATTTGAGTGAAACTCAACGGCCTAGAAACAAAAAAAAAATTGACAACTTTGTATTCCAAAATACACTAAACTGTCTACAATTTAAAAAGTTTCTTGACTAAGTGAGCCGTATCAGGAATTTTTAAAAAAGGACAATTAAAAACAAAAAATGTTTCTGAGCTAGAAAAACACATAATACTTGTATCAATATCAAAAAATAAACTTAACTCGTCACATTATGACCTCTTTCTCAATATAGATAAAGAAATTTATTTTTTAAAGTGTGAGACTAAAATGACAGTGTACCAGGGAAGGGTGTAGTAAAACTTCCTAACTTTGTTCTCAATCATCTCCTACTTCCCAATTTTATTCCTAAATACCAAGCATACCTCCCATCTTCATCAATCCAAAACCCAACAGTTACAGTAGGGTTTTGAAGCTTGTTAAAATATTTTTTAAAAAAACATCTCATAAAATCATCATTTTATCTTAAAATATCTTAGATGATCTCTTATGAGAATTTTCCATGATTTGTTTGGTCATTCAATTGGGATCGGAATCTTGTATTAGTATAAATAAAAGTTTGTGCATTGTATTTGTTAGCACTTCATTACAAAGAAACACATACACAAATATATAAATATACACATACACACCAAGTTTTTTCTCTTTTGCATGATTATACGGTCCCGTTTATTATAGATTTAAAAAAAAAAATTTATTGACATTTTCAAAAATGATTTTATGTAAAAATATTCAAAATAGAAGAAGTTATTTCTCTTTTGCATGATTATACGGTCCCGTTCGTTATAGATTTAAAAATAATAATTTTTTATTTATATTTTCAAAAATGATTTTATGAAAAAATATTCAAAATAGTAGAAGTTATTTAAACTCATTTTTTTATAAATTAAAAGACTATTTTTGACATCCACTAACATAAATACACATTATTGAAGATTAAAACATAGTCAAAAGCACATAATTTTTCAAAAAGATATATTTCAAAAATGATTTTTACGAAAAATTTATTCAAAATAGCTTCCAAATTAAGCGATTCTTTGAAATTTTACTATCCAAAAGAAGTCATAGGAAAAGGATGAAATGCCCATTTTACAAAAAACTATTTAAACTAATATTTTATTTGAAGCTTTTTTTTTTTAAATTCTTTGTAAAATTTTTTTAACAAAAATATATAATACTATAAAAATCTCTTTTTTTTTAAACTGAAACATACGGCCCCATACCTGATGATTCCAAGCTGCGTCAACTAAATGAGTACCATACTCCTCAAGCATCTCGTATAAAAGCACAAAGGCACCCCAATATTGCTGGCTGTTATAAATAAGCTCGTCTAACGTCGAAAGCTTCCCAACACCAAGTGACTTCGCTTCTTTGAGAGCCCATAGTTCCTTCCTTGTCACCCCACAAGGTACTGAACACTTTCCATTGGTGTCGCTTTTTGAAATGCTAGGGAGGGAATTGGCTCCTTCTCGTATATTTAGAGCCATCTTCAATATATGTAAGCTCTGCTTCCTCACTAAACTCTCCCTGTCAACCTGAACATATTTATTTGGGTTCTTAAGTAAGAAGAGCAGCAACATCTTAAGCAAACAAACAGAAAAATACTAAACAGAGCTCAAGTACCAGCCCCATCTTTATCTCATCCCAGAACTCTTTTTCTGCTCTTATGTCAAACTCTTCAGTTTGAATGACTGTATCACTATCAGAAATTTCATATTCTTCTGCCAGCCAGGAAAAAGAGAAATACAAAGAGAGTGTGTTGTATCCCTCTCTTCTCTCTAGAGGTCCCATTGAAAATAGTGTTTTGCAACAGTTCCATATTTTCATGAAGAAATGTGCCCTGAAAACCGTAAAATAAAATTCATACAGATAAAGAATGTATATTAAAGCACATAAATATTAATTAATCCAACTAGTTATACCGAGATAAACCATGTTTCTGCTCACGAATTGTGATTTCAAAAGAGCAAGTGACATGGAATGTTTTGAGAATGACAGGAAGAAGAAAGCCAATTGCGCAAGATCTATGTTCTGGACTATGTAAAAGCATCCGTTCACTCATACTACATAATTCCAAAATCAAAAGTTTAACAAATGTATCAGCAATACACCCTTCTCTTTCAGCTGACTTGGAGACTGTATTTGAAGGCAGAAACTGAAGGGCGAGTTCCAGAACTACAGACAAAATATTGCATGATGTTGTCAATTTGTAACAACTTGATGAAGATGTAAACTGTCCCTCATCAACTACGTCATGTGAATTCTGGTGAGACGATTCTCTACTCCATTTATACAAACTCGAGTCATCATTATGAAGCATCCCCAGTGAAAGACCGATTGATCTTATAAAAACTGGCACCAAAGTTTCTTCAAGAACTTCCAAGGTGCCGGTTTTAATCACAACATCCATGAGTGATTCTGTTATCTACCATATCAGATTACAAATTAGTTAGATGATAAAAAAAAATTCCCAACAACTACCATCAAAACACAACTTCCTAGCTATTTAATATAACATTCTATTATACCTGATTAAGCAAGTCATGCTGAGATGGTGGCAACACCTTAGCTAAAGGAAGAAAACACCTCCAAACAAAAAGTTGCATCGCGTCACAATCAACCCCTACAAATAAATAAATTACATGGAAGGATTCCTAGTTAAAAAATAAAAAAGATCCGCTGCTGCAAAAGCTCCATTTCAGCATAGCATTATAGTACGCTTATAGTTTCAATTGATAAATGCATTTCCAACAAGAACAAAAACTACAAATAAATGAGAAGCAACTCACCTGTTTTCTTGAGGAGGTGACAAAATGCGGCCACCAATGACACCAGACGGTGTCGTTTATCAGAATCCAAAGTACCATCCTCCTTGATAATGTCCTATTACATCCAACAAAGATAACCAAACATAAAAACCGGCAGAAAAAACTCTAGAAACGTAAAAATCAAGTAGCAAATAGCAACAGTATCAGTCTGAACATAGTTTTCATGAAGTAATGGTGAAAAAGTGAAGAGAGGAACTGAATTGAAGATGAATTACCTTGAGAAAAGGAGGAAAATCATGGAGGAGTGAAGCGAAGAGTGAGGGCGGAGACAAACCGGTGGAAGCGAGAATACAGTCTAGCACCGCCGGAACGGCGGAAGGAGGCACTTGATCGAAGCTTTTAGATAGCGAAGCAACGACTGAAACCATTGAAGCAGCTTCTGCTTCTGCTTCGGACATTGTATTCACTCTCCTTCTTCTCTGAAAGTGGTATTCAGTTGAAAGCTTGATAAGTTAAAAAAGGTGAATAAGTTAAACCCTAATTTTCGGTTGATAAACCCTGTATCAAGTACAGCACGTGTCTGGATCCCGTTTTCAATTCTTGGCGCCTTCGTTTAATACATAACGGCGCTGCACAAGGGGCTCTGGGTTTTGTGTGTAACCAGACTAAGGTGTGTGTTTGTTTTTTTATTTTTCTCTCTCTTTTTATTTTATTTTTTCATTTCTTATTTATTTTTATTTTCCTTTCGTATAATATCTAGTTATCTACTCAATATTTTTTCTTTTCTTTTTAAAATTGTTTACCTAAAAAAATTGAACGTCATTATATATAATTATATATATATATATATATATATATATATATATATATATATATATATATATATATATATATATATATATATATATATAATGAATGGGTAGTATGCAATGGAATGGAATAGAATTAAATGGTAAATAATAAAATTTTATTGTTTTGAATTTGTAAATAATGAATAGAATGAAATATAGTAAAATGGAATTCATTGCATTCAAATTTTTATTTTTTTTGTTCAATTTAAAATGTATGTAATAGAATGAGATAATTTTAATAAAATAATCAAATAATAGAATACAAACTATATTTCATTCCACTCTTTTGGACTTCATCTATTTAAACATAATCTTAGTTTTCATTTACAATCACAAGTTATCCATTAATACTAAGGTTGTCTCTTTTTTTTTTTTGGACATATTGAATGATACTTGTTGTGATACGGTGACAGAATCGACTGTTCAATATTGGTTTGCGTTTTGCATTTTTTATTCGCAAAATATCGCGGTAAGCAAGAGTCGCCACCGACTTTTATTTCATTCAATCATGGAAAAGGAAAAAGAACAGAAAAAATCTTTTTTCGAGATATTTCTGAGTACGGGGGTAGATTATAGAAAGGGAAGGTGTTAACACCCTTTCTATCCATGGTTTTCCATGGGCTCTTAGGTATTTGCTCATCTTTTTAAAATTGCTTGTGTATGTTCTTGCTTTGAAAATGTTTTACTTCGTGATAACCATTGTATCAGTCCTCAAGAGTGTGACGAAGTTGTTTTGAAAATTGTTTTTAAAAGGTGTTTGTGTGAAAAGATTTGTTTTGAGCAAGTACCTACTAGCATCTACCTACTCGAAAAAAGATCGTTTTTGTTCTATTTCCTTTAGACAGCGTTATCCCACTATTAAGGAGTAGGTAGCACCGTCGTTGGAGTTTGTAAGGGACGTTCGAAAGGGACAAATACAATCACTAAAGCAACAGTTAAAAAATCTTAGTAGTAACCCTAGAGTCTTAAGATCTTTTTGAGGCAACATTTCCGAGACAATATTCGAATGGGACATTTGATCTTTTTAGACTGGAGGACCACCACTAAAATCTCCTATGTTTAATGATTGTGTATCGAAGACAACCGAAGTGAGGTAAACCCTATGAGTGAACATCTGTGAGTGATTTGTTTCAGTTATTTTAATTTTTGCACATTAGGGTTTTCTAACTGTTTTAATTTTCATGCATTATTGTCATACAATCCTATTAGCCATACATCTAGACATTTAATAATTTGCTGAAAGTAAACGCAGAAATAAACCTAGCTATTACATGACTTTGACAGTTACACAATTGCCTTGACGTAAAATAAAAAAAATGCAGAATTTAAAATCCTAATTAAACTATTACAACCTTGAAACAATTACAATAATTTAAATTAAAAGAAAGTCAATGGGCGTGCGCGACAAATTACGTACGAGAATAAAGTCTGAGTCCTAAAAAATCTAATCAATTAAAGAGGAAATATTTTTTGTATTTTATTATTGCGAAAAATATTTGAAATTTTAACCTAATTTGTCTAATTAATTTTAATTATAAAAAAAGAATTTGAATTAATCTAATTAAGCTAATTAATTAATTGCAATTAAATATTTTTATGAAAAAAAACTAAAATCTAATTTTTAGTGATTTTATGATTTTATGATTTAAAAAAATGATTTTTATTGTGAAAATAATTTAAAATAACCAATAAAAAAGAATTTTTAAAAAAAAAGAGAAAAAGATTTGAGCCTAGAGTGATGAAGCAAACTGGGGGTGTATGTTGAACTTCTGAAACCCAGAAGGATGGCCCAGAGTCTGGCGCCTGATCCAATGAGACCATCTTCTGGGGACTCATGGTGGACCTGCGTATGATGGCGTTGGATCTGGCTGGAGATGGATCCAGAGGATGAGATCAGAGGGTGCGTGATGATCCTTAGAAGGTAAACCCAGAAGGATGGCCTAGAGTCTGGCGCCTGATCCAATGAGACTATCTTCTGGGGACTCATGGTGGACCTGCATATGCTGGCGTTGGATATGGCTGGAGATGGATCCAGAGGATGAGATCAGAGGGCGCGTGATGATCCTCAGAAGGTGAGGTGTGCTGGATCTGGTGAAAATAATAGAGAAAATGCCAAAAGCTCACGCTTGGGATCGAACCCAGGACATGAGCTTCATACTTCCTTCCTCTGACCAATTGTGTTGGATGTCTCAATTGTTAATATAATAACAAACATATAATATATTGGAAAACAAGTTAGTGGCCAGAAAATGCGCGCCAAATTCAAATGGACCAACCACGTTGTGACACGCATCGTCTTCTTCCTACAACTGTCGTCTTAGGCATGAAGCTTTTACCTACGGACGTTTGTTGTAACTACAGCCCTGCACAATTCAAAAATTTCATACGAGCATGATAAATCTATTGTGATAGTACCAATCAATTCGTCTTGGCCTCACGAGCATCATGGTACTTGATTCATGGCCCAATTTTTCATGTACACAAAGACCCTAAATTGCAAGCATAAACCCTAACAATGGTAACGACATGTAGAGGCTTCAAAAACGCAATTGAATAATACAATTAGCTTGCAAACACGATGATAATCACAAATATGACAATTAAAATGGCTAATGATACAATATTTGGGATAATCGATTCTGGAAAAAATGCAAACCGTGTGAGTTACAATTTGTGTTTCTGGGTGCTTCAGGCCTTGCAACTGATCCAATTGGCTTATGGGAAGGTCCCATAAACGATTAGCAGTGTTGGAATGGTCTGGATTAATCTCTAAATGCAAAAACGATCCATCACTTTTTGTCAAATTTTTGGAACTTGGTTTGGTGTTTTCACGACTGCTGAACCCTTATTCTTGATCTGCAATTATTGTATACATATAGTAGACTGAATTAGGTCAATAAAATTGCATCATATCTTTGAGAATTATGAAAATATGATTTGATTTGCTTCATGTATGATTTCTTTTCAAACTTGCTTCAATCCAATATTTTTCAACCCTAATGAACCTTGCACGAATTGGCTGGCATGCTAGCTGTACATGGACTCAAAATGTGCATAAGAATCTCAAGATTTTGTTTTCATTTTTTTACCATTTAATTTTATTTATTTTGATTTAAATGAATAAAAAATCAAAATAAATGATAAAAGTAATAAAATAATAGGTGTAAAATCTCAAGGGTCATGGGTCCTATTAGAAACATGTTTCATGCAAGAAAACATGGGCCCCTTTGGAAAAAATGCAAGTTTGATCAATGTTGACTTTTGACAATTCTCAAAAAATTGTCAACTTTGACAATGCACGACTTTCTCAATTTTGACCCTAGGAAGCTGTTCTTGGACTTTTTAGAAAGCTTAGGATGTTCCCTAACCAACCCTTTTGGTCTCATATCAATTTGATCTTCCATGTTAATGTATGAAGCTTTGACCCAAAAGGTGTTTTTGTTGGCTTTTCAAAATGACCTATAATGTCAAAATTCATATATTTTTGTGAGTGCATATTTTGAACTTGTGGGATGAATATGGATTGTAGGGAATTGTATCCTCTTCAAAATGAGCTTTGGATGGAAAATTTCTGATAAAGTATGAAAAAGTTATGCTTGGTCAAAGTTGGGTTGACTTTTCCTACAAAACCCTAATTTAACAACTTTTGGGTTTTGATGAATTTGGAGCATCCCTTGAAGAATCACGATCAACCCTTGATAAAATGATGGATAACACTTCAAAATGATGATGTTGACCAAAAATCTTGGAGTTTGACTGTATGTGGGCCATAGTTGACTTTTGACCTAATATAGTCGACTCTCAAGCATCTGAGCAGTTGGCTGGGCAAACTTCTTGTGCAAGGCATGAAACTTGGCATGGATGATCTTAGGAACATATTAAGACCATGGAGAGCATAGGAGACCTTTTTGGTCCTCTCATCTTGATGAAAAATGAAACCCTAATTTGAGGTATACTTCCTTAGGAGAGAGTTGGTTTAGTCAACTCTTGGACTTCCTTGAGCAACTTGGGGACCTCAATTGACATGTATTGAGTAAAATGAGAGGGCAAATTTTGGGGTACAACACTTTCTAAAATTATAATAGTGACAACCTCTTTATATGTATTTATTTTGGAGGGTATGTGGATAGTATATAGAGCAAGCTTACATAAGAGTAAGAAATTATTTTACGCTTTGTCAGAAAAACTAGAGACTCGTCCCTTAATGCAAGACTGAGATATTTATATATTACCTCTTGAGTCTGGGCCAGAGGCAGTTACCATTACACCACTTTCACAAATGTGGGGAATAAGGTGCCTTATTCCTTGAATTGTGGATATGTGATTATTACCCTCAGACTAGCTATGAGTTGATTATCATTATAGCATGTCATTTCCATGTTTAGTGGATCGCGAGTGTTAGGCAACTTGTTAGCCCAGTTCGACAAACTTGCGTACCACCTTGGGCTGGTTGTAGCCACTTGTTAGGAGATATGTGAGGGTGCTTAGGGCGACCATCGATGCTTATTGGGCAATCATCTAGTGCTTATGCATTTCGTCTTTCTCTTTCTTTATAAATTATCCTTTCTTCAGGGCTCAAAAAATGTATTGGTACACAGTCCCTCAAT